TTATCTTTGACAAAGGAGGCAAGAATATACAATGGAGAAAAGACAGCTTCTTCAATAAGTGGTGCTGGGAAAACTGGACAGCTACATATAAAAGAATGAAATTAGAACACTTCCTAACACCATACACAAAAATAAACTCAAAATGGATTAAAGACCTAAATGTAAGGCCAGACACTATAAAACTCTTAGAGGAAAACATAGGAAGAACACTGTTTGACATAAAGCACAGCAAGATCCTTTTTGACCCACCTCCCAGAGAAATGGAAATAAAAACAAAAATAAACAAATGGGACCTAATGAAACTTAAAGCTTTTGCACAGCAAAGGAAATCATAAACAAGACAAAAAGACAACCCTCAGAATGGGAGAAAATATTGGCAAATGAAGCAACTGACAAAGGATTAATCTCCAAATATACAAGCAGCTAATGCAGCTCAATATCAAAAAAACCTCACAAACAACCCAATCCAAAAATGGGCTGAAGACCTAAACAGACATTTCTCCAAAGAAGATATACAGATTGCCAACAAACACATGAAAGTATGTTCAACATCACTAATCATTAGAGAAATGCAAATCAAAACTATAATGAGGTATCACCTCACACCAGTGAGAATGGCCATCATCAAAAAATCTCCAGACAATAAATGCTGGAGAGGGTGTGGAGAAAAGGGAACCCTCTTGCACTGTTGGTGGGAATGTAAATTGATACAGCCACTATGGAGAACAGTAGGGAGGTTCTTTAAAAAACTAAAAATAGAACTACCATATGACCCAGCAATCCCACTACTGGGTATATACCCTGAGAAAACCATGATTCAAAAAGACATGTACCACAATGTTCATTGCAGCTCTATTTACAATAGCCAGGACATGGAAGCAACCTAAGTGTCCATCGACAGATGACTGGATAAAGAAGACGTGGCACATATATACAATGGAATATTACTTAGCCATGAAAAGAAATGAAATTGAGTTGTTTGTAGTGAGATGGATGGGCCTAGCGTCTGTCATATAGAGTGAAGTAAGTCAGAAAGAGAAAAACAAATACTGTATGCTAACACATATATATGTAATCTAAAAAAAAAAAAAGGCTCTGAAGAACCTTGGGGCAAGACAGGAATAAAGATGGAGACATAGAGAATGGACATGAGGACATGGGGAGGGGGAAAGGTAAACTGGGACGAAGTGACAGAGTGGCATGGACATATATACACTACCAAACGTAAAATAGATAGCTAGTGGGAAGCAGCTGCATGGCACAGGGAGATCGGCTCGGTGCTTTGTGTCCACCTAGAGGGGTGGGATAGGGAGGGTGGGAGGGAGATATAAGAGGAAGGGGATATGGGGACATACGTATGCATATAGCCGATTCACTTTGCTATACAGCAGAAACTAATACAACATTGTAAAGCAAGTATACTCCAATAAAGATATTAAAAAAAAATTAGTTCCAGAAATTGAACAAATGTTATGATCAAAATAAGAGATAAATTGACAAAGAAATAAACAACCCCCCCATGTACAGTCGATACATGAAGTTATACAATATATTCAGAGATTTTCTATCCAAAATGGAAGTTCTAAATGTAAATGGATAGTGAAATTTGTTTGATAACAGATACAGAAAATATGGAAAAGTCCCCAACTTGATAAAACACGGGGACACGTGCACTTTGTGGAATGTATAATGTCAAAGAAATGTCCATTCTACATAAACTACACCTTTTGAGTTGTTAGGTAGCAGTCCTGTCCTTATGGTTGGTTCTCAAGATTGCCTTAGGGATGGCTCCAATCATTTCTTAAAGCTTGTGAAGAAATTTATACATTCTCCAAAAATAATTTTACTGTATTTAATTAAAATACATTCCAGCCACTGTTTGTAGGGAGCTTAGCACATGGGAAGTGAAGGCAGACATCGGGCCACGATGTGGGTTTGGAACCCTTGCTCTCAGATTCCAGGACAGTGAAGCTAACGGTGTGTTACTTCACCAAAACTCTTCTGTCCTGTCGAGTCCAACACAGTTTTCATGGGATTCCTGGGCTAGATGCCAGGACACAGCTGAATAAGATCTCTGACCCTCAAGGAGTTTGGTCTACACTGTGAAACAGTACCAGGTCCATTCAAATCTCTTTTGGCTTTTAGAGCAAACATCTGCTGTGCGTGGTCTCCTAATTCAGTCCATGCGGAACTAGAGATGCAATCAGTGATTTCTCTCCCTGTCATGTTCACTCAGTCTTATTTGCCAATATCTATTTTGTTTTATGATCTGATTCAAAAAAATTCCTATTTCCTAAGTTGTCCATACCTGGGCAAAAGTGCTGGGGTGCATTGTTGAAACTTGTATGTGTAAAACAATTCTCTCGATCAAGGGCTTTGGACCAGTTATAAACCCTATTCGCAACCTGCACAAAGAGAGAAAATGCACAATACCAACCCTGCATTAACAATTAATACCTTGTTAGTAATTTCATGGGGAAGAAAGTTGTGACCTGGGGACAAACACACTTAGTTAACACAGTCTAATAAAACTACTTATTTAAAATACACATTTAAACTTAATTGTACACTTAAAATAGACCACGTGTTTCTAAATGTGCTCTTTCGTATATGTAACCAAAAACCTGACCAGTCCCCCTACAGCTATAAATTTAATGGCCAACTATCTTTGACCACTGGGGACAGATTGGGAGAAAAGCCTGGTATTAATAGATAAAATCAAACGGGAATACAGGTATCTTAAACGAGAACTGTTTGCTGAGGTGCAGCCTCTGTCACCTTTAGATGCAGCCTGCAGGCACAGCCAGGGCCTTACCCAGAGGACAGGACTTTGGAAAAAGAGTCAGCTCGGATGACACGCCCATCAACGTCCATGGAGAGAAAAGTCGGTGCCCAGGGCTTGAAATGGAAGAAAAATACTGTTGGTTTGGGAAGTCTGTTAGAGACCGTATCCCTACTTTGTGCAGAGACTGGGGAGGAATGGATTTGGAGAACAGTAGGACAAACATCCTTTTCCTTGTCTTCATCTCAGCCCTTTGAAATGGAGTAAGAACCAGAGATGCACGTTCTTCTATTCGTATCTGCCGATCTTCACGGCTTTTCTGCCAAACACACACACATGTCCTCGCACTTGCTCATGCTGCCACTCCCGTGAGTTTAGAGGAACCTCACACAGGACCTCCTTGTCCCAAGGCTTGAGATCCAGGATGAACAGATTTCGAGGAAGGATTCAATAAAAACTAGTTTGGAAAAGACTAAAGCGAAGAGGGCCGTCAGCATTCAGGGCTGTTTAGGAAGAGATGCTGAGCCTTAGACCAACTAGAAACAAAACAAAGGTGCAAGTGAAGACGAGCAGTGTAGTCGGTCTGCAATGCTGAAACTTCCATATTTACTTCAAACGTAAATGCCAACAAGAAAGGGGGCCATGGTCGTGTTGAAGGTGGGCGGCAGGCAGACATGGTATTCAGGCAAACTAGATAAAAAGCCAAGAGTTCTGTTTCTTCTCCGTAGATATAGAGTGGGGATTGAGTGCGTGTGTTTGTTCTGTGCAGCCCTGAGAGCAAATACAGTGTTGGATTTTGCGGAATTGGGCATTGGGAGTCTGTACCACTACTGTTGTCTCCTAGGAAACCATGCTCGTGGACAGTGGTGTACATATATAGTGGGAAAGGATCTAAAAGCCCATGATTCTGCAGGAAAGTCCCCGACCCTAAGTGACAGGGATGGCGAGTGGGCAGCATGATGCTAGGAACGCCCCTCCTCTGCCCACCACCGCCTCATGACCGAGCGCGGCCATCCTTCTCCTTCTGCCTGGACACGCCTCCCAAGTCCTCCGCCAGTCAGCCACCCCCGAGAGACTGAGGTTGACACCCAAGGAGACACCCACTCCGTAACCCTGGCACGATGTCTAAGGAGCCACGACCTGGATTTGGAGTCCAGACGACCCTCACCCTTGACTCACTCGACCCTCCACGTGCCTGGCACAGAGAGCCAGCCGCTATTCTAAAGGAAAGGAATTTCTGGAAAGAGCAGTAATACCAGAGATGAAAATGCTCGGCAGCCCGGCTAAACTCACATCAGCACAGTAACTTACAGCCACTTGTCTGCTGATTGTGGGCTGAGTTGACACTGCACTTACCTTGTTGAACTGCATAAAATAGTAAGGATCGTCTTCTATGATGAGGAAGTCGTATTTTCTTGCGAGCTAAAAAAGGTTAAAGGAGCATATTTATTTCTTCAGAGCGCCCGAAGATGAAAATCACTTGGAATCATAGTTCTTTGTACTTGTTTCTGTGTAGCTTAATATGTGATTTTAGAACAGTGTTTATAGTGAAAATCTTAGGCATCATGTTCAGCTACCTAGAGGAGACTTTACAAAAGGAGCCTGCCTCCTGTTTTAAAGGAATGTCTTTGTAACCTGAAATGACAAGAAGTAGGAAAGGGAAGGGACAGGTTGAAAGTACAAACATAAAATAATGAAAATCAAACTTGGGGCCAATTATTATATAGCCTCATAGAGTTTAACATCACACCAAGAGTAACATTTCCTTCAATGAAAATATCAATTAAAGGGAAAGAAAAATCTCATAGTCAACAAGTGTAATAGTTTCTTGAATTTAAATTCATGGCGACCCTGGCATAGATGACTTCCTTTTATTAAAAATCATCTTCCTTGAGAGCAAGGGGTAATGAGAAGGAACTTGCAGAGCGCTCTTCTAAAGGGTCAGAACAAAACAAGAACACAGCCACGGAACACATTCTTTGAAAATACCTCATAGATTTCCTTTTTGCGGTTAGTTGTTAATGAGTTCCCGGCAGGGTTGTTGCCATTTGGGACAGTATAAAGAAATTTGGGGGTGTTTTTCTCAGGGTTCTTTGAATCTTCTGGTTTCCATTTGGAGAGTTTTTCTCTGAGGGAGTCTGGAATAATCCCGTGCTCATCACTGGAAACATTAATCATGTTGCAGCCCAGGGGTTGCAGCTGTCCAGTACAAAGAGAAAACAAAGCCAGAGACTCAGACTTGATACAAAATATCAGTGTCACTGGTTCTTACACTAAGGAGAATGTTACCATTTATACCCTTAAACAAAAAGCTGTTACCATTTATACCCTTAAACACAAACCTGCACTCAGCTCTACGCCCACAGTGCGTTATCTTTATAATTATGGTTAGAACTGGTTCATAAAATAGGTGTTTATTAAGGAATGTTTTTTGACAAAGTAAATTAATCTTATAAAGCATCTATGGTGCTAATACATAAAATAGTTATAAGCAGAGGTGATATTCAAAATATTGGACAGGTGGTGTAGCATGGGCACATCAGATACAGAGCAGGTTGGAATGGGGTCCTGGAGGCCCCCTACCATGCCAGCATTGGCTCTGTACTATGGGGTGTTCAGGTTGGTCTTAGGAGAGGGACCAGGGGAGCCAGGGTGGTGCTGGGGAACCAAGGAGCGTCAGGGCAGTGGCTCACCAAGGCATGTGGATAGTATACTGTACCGATTGCAAAGGCTGAAGACACAAGTAGTGGCCTTGTTTATAGACATTGTTTTATGAAAGGTTTGTGTTTTTATGTTTTATGTCTGTGGACAAACATAAAGAAAAAAATCGGAACTTAATAAGTAACAAGCAAAGGAAATCATCAACGAATGGAAAGACAACCTACAGAATGGAGAAGCTATTTGCAAACAATGGAACCGAAAAGGGATTAATTTCCAAAATATACAGACAGCTCAATATCAAAAAAAAACCAAACAACCCACTCCAAAATTGGGCAGAAAATCTAAATAGACATTTCTCCAAAGAAGACATGCGGATGGCCAACAGGCACATGAAAAGATGCTGAATGTTACTAATTATTAGAGAAATGCAAATGAAAACTGCAATGATGTACCACCTCACACCAGTCAGAATGGCCATCATCAAAAAGTGTACAAATAATAAATGCTGGAGAGGTTGTGGAGGAAAGGGAACTCTCCTACACTGTTGGTGGGAATGTAAATTGGTGCAGCCACTATGGAGAACAGTATGGAGGTTCACCTTGTGATCCAGCAGTCCCCTTCCTGGTCATATATCTGGAGAAAACCATACTTCTAAAAGACACATGCACCCCAGTGTTCATTGCAGCAGCATTTACAATAGCCAAGACATGGAAGCAACCTAAGTGTCCATTGACAGATGAATGGATAAAGATGTGGTATGTATATGTATGTATGTATATACATACACACACACACACACACACACACACACGCATATATACACAATGGAATATTAGCCATAAAAAGATTGAAATAATGCCATTTTCTGCAACATGGATGGATCTAGAGATTATCATAGTAAGTGAAGTAAGTCAGATGGAGAAATACAAATATCATATAATATTGCCTATATATGGAATCTAATAAAATGATACAAATGAACCTATTTACAAAACAAATAGACACACACAGACATAGAAAAGAAACTTCTGGCTACAAAAGGAAAGAGGAGTGGAGGGATAAATTAGGAGTTAGGGACTGACATATACACACTACTATATATAAAATAGGTAACCAACAAGGACCTACTGTATAGCACAGGGAACTATACTCAGTGTCTTGTAATAACCTATAATGGAAAAGAATCTGAAAGTTATACATATATATGTATAACTGAATCACTTTGGTGTACATCTGAAATGAACACAACTTTGTAAATCAAATACAATATATTTCAATAAAAATTAAAAAAATAGCAGTAACTGAGTGAAGTTCTCAGAAAAAATATTTTCAAAGGATAAGCAAACAGTTTTCTTAGCAGTCAAATGTAGAATTATGCACTGAGAATAATCCAGACCCCACTTATGGTAAATTTAAAAGGTCTTAGACTTAGAAATCACATAAACATGCAATAAAAGAAGTCAATATTGGACCATGAGATAAACACACATGAACCGTCGGCATATTCCGTCACAGCCTAGCGTTGGTCTCTGTTTGGGTGTGTGAAAACGTGTGCGTATGTGTGCTGTTTACATAGACAAAAATTTTATATTTATAGGCATTGTGTAATCTTATGACTTAGGAGTTTAGGAAAATAATTAACAATTAGTATCCAGTCGCCAAGAAAAGGTAATTACTTTAGTTTTTAAAATTATGGCAAAATATGTAAATAACAAAAATTTGCCATTTTAAAGTGTGCGACTCAGTGGCATTAATTACATTCACAGTGTGTGCATCCATCGTCACTATTAATTTCCAAAATCTTTTCATCACTCCAAACAGACACCCTGTATCATTAAGCAATAACTCCCCACTTCCCCCTCCCTCAGCCCCTGGTAACCACTAAGCAACTTTCCGTCTTTATGAGTTTGCCTATTTCAGATATTTTGTACAAGTGGAATCATACAATATGTGTCCTTTTGTGTCTGGCTTCTTTCACTTGACATAGTGCTTTCAAGGTTTATCCATGTTGTAGCAGGTGTCAGAACTTCCTTCCTTCTTCTGGCTGAATAATATTCCATTGTGTGAATGGACCACATTTTATTCATGCATTGATGTACACTTGGGCTGCTCCATGTTTTGGCTATTGTGAATAATGCTGCTATGAACGTTTATGTTTCTGTTTGAGCCCCAGTTTTCAAATCTTTTTGGGTACATACTAGGAGTGGAATTTGTGTGTCCACGGTAATTCTATGTTTAATTTTTTGAGGCACTGATAAACTGTTTTCCACAGGGGCTGCACCATTTTACATTTCCACCAGCAATGTACTGCGGTTCCAATTTCTCTACATATTCACCATTACTTGCTATATTCCATTAAAAAAATAATAGTCATGCTAGTAGGTGTGAAGTAGTATCTCACTATGGTTTTGACTTTCATTTCTCTAATGACTAGTGATGTTGAGCATCTTTTCATATACTTACTGGCCATTTATATATCTTCTTTGCAGAAATGTCTATTCAAGTCCTTTGTCTATTTTTATTATTATTATTATTTTTTGCGGTGCGCGGGCCTCTTACTGTTGTGGCCTCTCCTGTTGCGGAGCACAGGCTCCAGACGCGCAGGCTCAGCGGCCATGGCTCACGGGCCCAGCCGCTCCGCGGCATGTGGGATATTCCCAGACCGGGGCACAAACCCATGTCCCCTGCATCGGCAGGCGGACTCTCAACCACTGCACCGCCAGGGAAGCACCCCTTGTCTATTTTTAAATTAATTTCTTTGTATTTTAATTGTAGGAGGTCTTTATATACTCTGGATATTGAACTCTTACCATATATATGATTTGCATGTATTTTCTCCCACTCTGTAGGCTGTTTTTTCACTTTCTTCATAATGCCCTTTGACGCTCAAAAGAGTTTAATTTTTGATGAAGTCCAGTTTATCTATATTTTTGTTGTTGCTTGTATTTTTGTTGTTATATCTAAGAATAGTGCCAAATCCAAGGTCAAGAAGATTTGCCTTATGTTTTCTTCTAAGAGTTTATAGTTTTAGCTCTTAATTTAAATGTTTGATCCATTTTGAGTTACATCTTTATATGGCATGAGGTGAGGGTCCAATTTCTTTCTTTTGCACGTGGAAATACAGTTATCTCAGCAAAATTTGTTGAAGAGACTTTTTTTTTTTCCTGTTGAATGGTTTTGGTACCCTTGTCAAAATCAGTTGGTCACAGCTGTATGGTTTATTTCTGAACTCTCAATTCTATCCCATTGGGATATGTATCTATCCTTAATGCCAGTACCAGCCGGTTTTGATTACTGCAGATTAAGGCAGTTAGTTTTGAAATTGGGAACTGAGAATCTTCTAACTTTGCACTTTTTCAAGATTGGTTTGCCTATTTGGACCCTTTCCAATCCCAAATGAATTTGAGGATTGGCTTTTATATTTCTGTAAAAAAGGCTATTGGAATTTTGGTAGGGATTGCATGGAATCTGTAAATTGCTGTGGTAGTATTGACAGCTGAATAGTATTAAGTCTTCCAACCCAGGAGAAGGTGATGCCTTTCGGTTTATTGGCATCTTCTTTAATTTCTTTCAGCAATGTTTTTTAGTTTTTAATGAGGAAGTCTTTCACCCATTTTGTTAGATTTATTCCCAGATATTTTATTCTATTGGATGCTATTACAAATGGAATTTTCTTAATTTCCTTTTCAGATTGCTCATTAGAAAAAGCAATGTTTATAATATATTTTTACCCCTACTTGGGAGTGTTGAGGGAATATGCCTTTCATCAAGACTAGCTAATTGCTTTCTATATATATTCATTTTTCACAAAGATAATATTAAATTAAAAAAAAAGATAATCCATGAAGTTAGATTCAGTAGAGCATAGCGGTCATCTCATTAAATCCCCTACTCTAAGCCAGAATTACTTTGCTAGCATTTATGTCAGGTGGCCATTGAGAGTTACTCTGAGCCCCTGCAGTGATGGCCAGTGCGTTCTCCTCAGAGAACTGGTAAGGCTGATGGTTAGACAGTTGTTACATTGAGTTGAAACTGTTTCCCTGTAGTTTCCACCCTTTGGTTCAAGTTCTATGAACCTGAGAACATGCACAGACAAATCTAACTCCTCTGTCACATGGCTAGCTTTAATGTACTTGAGGACAATTCTCATGCCCCTGTGGAGTCTTCTCTCTCTGCAGAAAAGAGCATAGTTCCTAAAACAATTCAACCTATGGTATTATTTCCATTTCTTTGTTCACTCTGGTCGCTTTTCTCCGACTGTGCTCCAGTCTGTATTCACATCGACCCAAAAGTATTGTGCCCCCGACAGTGGTGTGTTCTGACCAGGGCACAGCAGAGCAGGTGATGCGATTCCTCGTTCTGGATATTAGAGTCCCGTTAATTAACACTGGAGAGGAAAGTCCTGATCGTACCATGTTACTGTACAGTTATCCTACACTGACATATGGCCATCCTTACGCATGTGGTCATATAGGTGGTAGTGAAAACATGTCTGTGTAAATTAAGTCACATTTCAGGTGGAATATTAACAAATTTGGACATGATTTTGCAAGACCCAATTTTAGCACCTCTACATTTAGACCTTGTAAGGAGAAATGTATAAAGCAGAGGGAACATTTCACATATTTTGCAAATATTAATGATTCTCCTGTTTAAGAAGATGCTATTTTATGTTTCAGTGGACAGAGAATTCTCAAGGTGCAGTGGTTTCTTATTTGTTATAAGAAAGAGAGTTGCCTTTTGTAGACACGTGTACTCACAGCATGAATTGTTCCTGAATAAATAGGTTCATTTACGAGGATATTATCTCCAGGATTAAGGATCATCTCAAATACCTAACAAAAGAAGCATAGGTTGGCTTCATTAGTCTGGTTTCCAGTCTTAGAAAACACCTCCCCCCCTTTTTTTTAGTTTGGGCTCACTAGGATTCTAGAGAAGGAGTTGGCAAGTTTTCTGTAACTTGCCAGATGGGATGTGAGCCCTGGTGTCTCCATTGCAACTACTCATCTCTGCCTCTATGGTGAGAAAGCTGTAGACAATACGTCAGCCGATGGTGTGGCTGAGTTCCAATAAAACTCTATTTACAGAATCAGACAAGGACTGGCTTGGCTCTCAAGCCACAGTTTGCAAACCTCCGTTCTAGGTTGGAAAAAAAAAAACATAACTGATTTGGCTCCTAAAATTTATTTATTCCTTTTATTCCTTTTCTGAAAAATTTTAAAATATTTGCTATAAGCCAGGCCTGTGTAAAGGATGGAGATAAATGATGAGCCTAAAGGCATGGTTTTTACCCTCACGGAGATACTAGTCCACCATTCTGACTAAATCTTACACGAGTCACAGAATCATTCTTTCCTGCCCTGTGATGTTTCACAGTCCCCAGGTCACGCCTCTCCTCCCTATTATTTTAACAACCTAGAGCTCTTGATAAACAGCATGGCCATTATACATTGGGACAGAAGATTGGACTTTTCTTTCCTGATTTGGTCTAGGATATTCCTTATGAGCTTTTTGCATTTTATGACAGTGTCATCCTCTGACAAGTTTCTAATTGATTCAGGATTTACAGGACCTCCTAGGACCAAACAAATCACTGGGTGGCTTGCGTATTATTATCCATGGATCAGATGAAAACCTCATCACATACATTGGGACATGAGAAAGTCATATATCCTAAATGAGGAGGGAGGGCTGTTTATTATCTGAGACACGGACACCTAAAATAATATCCATCCTGGAGAACAAACTGAGAGAAATATTAAACTGGATTCCCAGGAGGCCTCTGGAACAAGCATGGCTATAAGCCAGTGAGTTACTGATGCATTTGGCCATCTGTGCTCTCTTCCTCTTTGATATGACTGATGTTGCAACAGACAAAGAAGAAACTTTCTTCTGCATCTTTCTGGAAAAAAAAAATGCACATAATGTCCCTTCCTAAGAAAAGAATTTCACTGAAAAGAACTTTTTTGTCCTACTAGTCTGGAGCATCACAAATGGTTCTCTTCAAGAAAAAAAATCAAACAGCAGCTAATCCTTTTATTTTTCCTAATTCAGTCCAAGAAGGGGGAGGAAAATTATAAAGTCTTACTTTAATACCTTATTCTGTAAAAATAATTTAATTGAAATTCATTAAAACTAACTGGATTATAACATTCACATTTACATAAGAAAGAAGAGCAAGAAAGCTACTCTGGTTTGAGATAAACAAGAGTCATCCTTTCATCTAGATGTGAGGACTGAATGTAGAGCTTCCTTATCCAGGACTAATTTTTCATGAAAAAAAAAAAGAAAAAAATAGATGAAACTGAGAACCATATATGCAGTCTCTTTATCTGGGGACCTCCCAGTGGTGGTTACCTCTGTGGAGTTCCTGGAACCCAGGAGAGAGGCAGAGAGAGAGAGAGAGAGAGAGGGAAAGAGAGAGAGAAAGTAACCCAGAGGNAGAGAGAGAGAGAGAGAGGGAAAGAGAGAGAGAAAGTAACCCAGAGGAGAAGTCAGCCACAGACACAGACATATACGTAGATGTGAAGAAGCACAGCCAAGAGGGAGTCAGGGTACAAGAGGCAGCCGGCACAGACGATGACACCAGCAGACACACAAAGGAATGACGTTTCATCTCAGGAGTATCAGGATACACCCTCAAAGAATTTAAAAGTCATACACTGAAATGTTATAGCCACAAGCAAAACTGAAATTTAGCCTGAATCTCTGAGTCAGATGAAAGTAAGCAGCGCTCACTAAGCTGCAGGTAGGGGTTGAGTTCTCCCTGAACGGGAATCTTGTCCTAATGACTCAGAGCTCCGGGTCAATGATGATGGGATCTCTGTTTAAGAGAAATCAGGTTGCAAATGAAGCAACTGACAAAGGATTAATCTCCAAAATATACAAGCAGCTCATGCAGCTCAATATCAAAAAAACAAACAATCCAAAAATGGGCAGAAGACCTAAATAGACATTTTTCCAAAGAACACATACAGATGGCCAAGAAGCACATGAAGAGATGCTCAACGTCACTAATCATTAGAGAAATGCAAATCAAAACCACAATGAGTTATCACCTCACACCATTCAGAATGGCCATCATCAAAAAATCTACAAACAATAAACATCAGAGAGGGTGTGGAGAAAAGGGAACCCTCTTGCACTGTTGGTGGGAATGTAAATTGATAGTCACTATGGAGAACAGTATGGAGGTTCCTTAAAAAACTAAAAATAGAACTACCATACGACCCAGCAATCCCACTACTGGGAATATATCCTGAGAAAACTGTAATTCAAAAAGGAACATGTACCACAATGTTCACTGCAGCACTGTTTACAATAGCCAGAATATGGAAGCAACCTAAATGTCCATCGACAGAGGAATGTATGAAGAAGATGTGGCACATATATACAATGGAATATTACTCAGCCATAAAGAGGAACAAAATTGAGTTATTTGTAGTGAGGTGGGTGGACCTAGAGTCTGTCATATAGAGTGAAGTAAGTCAGAAAGAGAAAAATAAATACCGTATGCTAATGCATATATATGGAATCTAAAGAAACCGGTACTGATGAACCTAGTGGCAGGGCAGGAATAAAGATGCAGATGTAGAGAACAGACTTGAAGACCCAGAGTGGGGAAGGGGAAGCTGGGATGAGGTGAGAAAGTGCCATGGACATATACACACTACCGAATGTAAAACAGATAGCTAGTAGGAAGCTGCTGCATAGCACAGGGAGATCAGCCCGGTGCTCTGTGACCACCTAGAGGGGTGGGATAGGGAGGGTGGGAGGGAGAGGCAAGAGGGAGGGGATATGGGGATGTATGTATGCATATGGCTGATTGACTGTTGTACAGCAGAAACTAACACAACATTGTAAAGCAGTTATACTCCAATAAAGATGTGAAAAAAAGAGAGAGAAATCAGGTTGGTGAATGTCTTTACGTTCCATTTATGATTCTAGGTGAAGACAAGGAAGACTTTGTAGGCCACAAAACATGATGCTCTGTGGTTAAGGGAGAGATGGCTGTATGGGTGAATGTAGTATTTGAAGCTTCCCGCGGGTGCCCTTCCTTCCAATCTTACCTTACAGAGACCTTCTTGGCTGCCACATGTGACACACATGTCCATTTGTCCTTGGCTGGGTGGATAATGGATGGTGGGAGGATTATGCAATTTTACTTGTAACTGTTTTAGCCAGGATAACAGCTCTGGGAGTCTAAAGCATAAAATGCATGTAAAAATTGACAGTAGTGAAAATCATAATAATAGTAGACAGGAACTAAATGGTGGCTTTATAGCAGGCACTTTAAAGGTCCTCAAATGCTTTTTGCCAATATTAATATCTTTACTTAAAAGACAAGGCAACAGACTTAGAGATTAAGAAATCCACATAAGTTAATCAGTTGGTGATTAAAAGAGCTTTCTCATTCCAAAGCCTGTACTTTTTCTTTTACATTAGAGCTCTCACTGCATAATTCATTTTTTGTTTCCCTTAGGGAGATTTCTGTAGGATACCTAGAAGTGCAGGTTCAGTAAGTTCTTTGCATCACGGAAAGAAAAGCCTAGGTATACATTATATACAGTACAGTTTTTATGCACCCAACATGCATTATTCTTCAATCACAGAGCAAACAGGCTTTGATAAAGTATGATTCATAGACACTGTGCAAGTTACGCTTTATCACTGGAAGAAGACCAGCTAAGGAAAGCCTTGAATATGTGTTCCAGTTTGCCTTTATGAAATTAAACACATCTGAACTGAGGGCAACATGTTTACATAGCTGCCTGTTTAGAAAGGGAACATAATCATTAAAAAATTTCCCCAGGGGCTTCCCTGGTGGCGCAGTGGTTGAGAGTCCGCCTGTCAATGCAGGGGACACGGGTTCGTGCCCCGGTCCGGGAAGATCCCACGTGCCGCGCAGCGGCTGGGCCCGTGAGCCATGGCTGCTGACCCTGCGCGTCCAGAGCCTGTGCTCCGCGGCGGGAGAGGCCACAGCGGTGAGAGGCCCGCGTACCACAAAAAAAAAAAAAAAAAAATTTCCCCGGGACCTAAACTGGCTGCTTGCTGGGTCATCCTTTTCCTCCTTTCTCCTACCCTGCTTATTCACCTAGCTATATTCTCTCTCTGTCTTTTATTCCAGTCTCAGCTCAAATGGAACCACCTTCCTAAAACCTCTCCCTCCCCTAGTCGTATAAGGTTGAGAACAGTCCCTGGCCTCTTAGGCATTCAGTATCATTGCTGCAATTATTTTTTCTTCTAAAACTCTTCCCCAAACCTTCCTCACTGCTGAATACCCAGTTAAAAAACGCACACATCACTCTTATCAGAGGGCTGTAGAATGTTGCTCATGAAAATGAACCAACAAGGTTACATTATTTACTGATCGGTACCCAGCACTCTGAGAATACTGCAGTGCTCTCTTCATCATCTCTTCATCAAATTGGATGGTCTCTCCGTTGTCTATGGTGATAACCGCAGACTTGAAAGGGAACGTGTTGGGGTTTGGTGCTCCAGTCGCCAGGGAGAGGACAGATTTCGATGACTTGCCCAATATCTCAGCTACAACAAATAAGGAGGAGAAGAAGAAACACTTTCAGTGAAGACCTTCCTAAACAGAGATGGTTCAGCATGCTGCATTAAAGTCAGTAAAACTTTAAAGTGTAACGATTTCTAGTGATAGAATGCTAGTCCGAAAGAAACACAGAAGATGCCTTTTTTTGTGGGCCGACCTCACCGGTGGAGGAACTAAGGAATAGACACGTGCATCTAAGAAGGCGGAGTGATCAGGCAGACAAGCCAAGGGTCACAGTAACAGAAGACGGGCTTCCACTCGGCCCTTCCGTGCCCGGCTCCGCGCGCACCCCTCTCTCTCCGGCGAACCCGCCCTCCCCACTCCGCACGCGCCCGCACGCTGAGCCGAACCCCGACTCCTGTGCCCGGAAGAGCCCTCTGGAGCCGAAGCAGGACGTGTCCACAGCGGCCTGCCCTCTCTCTACTGCTGATGGCCCACACTCGTGCCCGTTCCAGCGAGCCTTCTGTGCCAGGTCTGCGCAGAGCCGGGCACAGGCCGCCCCGAGCAGCTCTGCGGGGACCGCCCCTTCCAGTGGGAGAGCAGGGCCCGGACTCACTCATGACTCGAATGGCAGAAGGCTTTCTGGCCGCGCTCGCAGCCGTGATGAACCGTGTGTAATTCATTCTCGGATTCCAAGCGGCAAGCCCCGCCTTAGGTGGTTGAAGCCTGGGAAAACCAAGGATCCGTGTCAATCCTGCCCCCTAATCCCTGCCCTGGAAAGGCCACCTCTGCTGTCCCCCGAGTGTGGTCTGGCGCGCGGAGCCAGGAGAGGCCGCCGAAGGCCCGGCTGTTGGCTGCGCGAGAGCCTGGTTAGGATCCGGCCTGGCGCGTAGCAGGACTGGCAAAGTCCACTGGCAGGTTAGGATGCGTGCCCCTCCCGCCCTGCGCGACGCGGCCTATGGCCACCGGCCGCCCCTCCGGCGGGTTTCCAGCCCTGTGACCACGCCTCCAAGGCCCTTCAGCACACCCACTGGCCTCGGCCCTCCTGGCCGATCCCCACCCCCGGCCTGGCATCCAGCGCGTCCCCGCCCCCGGCAGCGCCTCACGGCCCGCCCCGCCCTCCACGCCTGCAGACTGGTCTCCGCCCCAGGCCTCGGTTCCGCCTGGAGACCTGGCCACAAGCCTCCAACCTGGCCATCCGTCTTGGCGCAGGAGGTGCGGGGAAGCTGGCCGCCTGCCTGAACCACGGCCTGAGGCAATTCAAAACCCGGTCTGACTCCTGACCCTGCAGCTGGAGTCGCCGCAGGAAAGCGTCGGGTTGGCCGGGGAGCCAGCGGGGATCTCCCTGAGGGGCTGGTGGAGGGGCCTGAGTCCTCTGTGCCCAGGTCCTGGAGAGCCAGCCGCACGGCCTGGGTGCCTGAGCAACAGGGCGCAAAACTCTCATCTCAGAAGGATAGCTATAGACAGTCTCCTGGGGAGTCACCAAAGCGACGCGGGTGATTTCCAGCGCCCCTGTTTGCAAGATCTGAGCGTTTTAGAGTGAGGATGGAGTGCTGATAGAAAGAGGCTCTCCTCACATTTTAGCGTCTCCCCTCCGCTTGGGTTGTTTTCGACCACTCAGTGTAGATTTAGGTTGCAAGTGTCGATCCAAAAAGATGCCTGTCTTTGGGGCTAATAGCACCTTGTCCCCTTTTCTCACAGAATAATCCTTTTCCTCAGACTCCCACCAGTTTTAGCCGTGATTTCTCCTTCCTGAATCATCCAAATGGAATGCACAGCGTTCCACGTGAGCCCTGAATGAGAGAAGATTTGGAGACAGTCTCTCTTTTTTAATTCTTAAATGGGTATTAAAGAATCATTTCTTTTCACCATATTCCACCCTGGATTCATTCATTCGGTAAGCATTATTGAGTTCTTCCTGCACGAGTGAGTGTTGACCCTCGGCCAAGGGCTTTCTTAGACATAAATAATTTGGTCTTGGAGACACTTCTGCCCTTAGTAGGTCCTGGCAACCACAGGATAAGATAACCCAGGGAAATCTTTATGCCCCCAGCTGAGGAACACAGGGAATATCATTAGTAAAGCTACTAGAAACCCAAGCGGGGATGGAGTTCTGGATTCAGAGACTTCAAGTGGTTTAAATCAGGGGTCCCCAACTCCCAGGCCACGGGCCAGTACCGGTCCATGGACTGTTAGGAACAGCAGGAGGTGAGCGGTGGGCCAGTGAGTGAAGCTCCATCTGTATTTACAGCCGCTCCCCATTGCTCTCATTGCCGCCTGAGCTCCGCCTCCTGTCAGATCAGTGTTGGCACTAGATTCTCACAGGAGCGCAAACCCTACTGTGAACTGTGCATGCGGGGGATGTAGGTTGCGCGCTCCTTATGAGAATCTAATGCCTGGTGATCTGAGGAGGAGCTGAGGCGGTGATGCTAGTGCTGGGGAGCAGCTGCAAATACAGATTATCCTTAGCAGAGAGGTTTGATGGCACAGAGACCATCATAAATCAACTGCAGACTCAGGTAACCTTATCAGTGAGTGGCAAGTGACAAGCTGCATCTGGTGGCAGGCTTTAAGTCAGAATCTGACACTTATTTTAGTCCGTGTGTGGCCCACCCATTATTTTATTTACCAGTTCCATCCATGCCTCTTCCCTGCACTGTGCACTTGTCTCAGTCAGAGTTTTGGTAAGCCCACAAGCTAATCCTAGCCAAAATGAGTAAAAAACAAACGTTGTGGGAGAGCGTCTTTGAAAAGGGGGAAAGACCCAATGATGAGACAGCAGAAGACTCTTAAGACTGCTAACAAGAAGAAAGCTGCATTTAAAAGAAAATACCAAGAGTCCTACTTAAATTACGGGTTCATCACAACAGGTGATTCACATTCTCCAAGCCCGCTTTATATATTATGTGGTGTCCTGCTATCCAGTGAAGCCATGAAACCTTCAAAACTGGTTCGCCACATGGAGACCAAGCATCCTGCATTAAAAGACAAGGCTTTAGAGTTTTTCAAAAGAAAAAAACATGAACATGAAGAACAGAAGCAATTACTGAAGGCCACCACTTCATCACATGTGTTTGCACTGAGAGTATCATTCTTAGTGGCTAACCACATTGCTAAAGCTAAGAAGCCCTTTACTGTTGGTGAAGAGTCGATCCTGCCTGCTGCTAAGGACATTTGTCGTGAACTTTTAGGAGAGGCTGCAGCTCAAAAGGTGGCACGTGTTCCTCTTTCGGCTAGCACCATAACTAGACGAATTGATGAAATAGCAGAGGATACTGAGGCACAATTGTTAGAGAGGATCAATGAGTCACCGTGGTACGCAATCCAGGTTGACGAGTCTACCGCTGTTGACAACAAGGCAACAATGCTTGTTTTTGTGCGATATATTTTTCAGGAGGATGTGCCTGAGGATGTGTTATGTGCGCTTTTGTTGCCAAACAACACCACAGCACAGCTGCAGAGCTAGTCAAGCCTTTGAATGATTACATATCAGGAAAACTGAACGGGTCATTTTGCGTCGGTATATGTATGGACAGAGCGGCTGCCGTGACTGGACGGCTTTCTGGTTTCACTACTCGGGTCAAAGAGGTCGCTTCTCAATGTGAGTCTACACACCGTGTCATCGTAGAGATGTGCCGGCTAGCCGAAAAATGTCACCTGAACTTAACAGCGTTTTGCAGGATGTGATTAAAATTATCAACCACGTTAAAGTACATGCCCTTAACTCACGTCTGTTCATGCAGCTCTGTGAGGAGATGAACACAGAGCACCCACGTCTTCTCTTATACACAGAAGTGAGATGGTTTCTAAAGGTAGATCACTGGCCAGAGTTTCTGAGTTACGAGAGCCGCTCCAGAGATTTCTTTTAGAAGAACAGTCGCCACTGGCAGCACATTTCAGTGACACAGAGTGGGTCACAAAACTTGCTTACTCGTGTGACATATTCCACCTGCTCAACAACATCAATCTGTCACTTCAGGAGAGAGCGACAACTGTGTTCAAGTCCACAGATAAAGTGGCTGCATTCAAAGCCGGACTGGAATTATGGGGGCGGCAAGTAAACATTGGGATTTTTGACATGTTTCAAACATTAGCGGAGATTTTTAAAGAGACTGAGCCAGGGCCTTCTTTCTCCCACCTGGTGCATGCTCAGCTATCTCAGCTTTCAGAAGAGTTTGAGCGTTACTTCACAACCACAAAAGACCCCCTGAACTGGGAAGGAATGGGTCTGTGACCCATTTGTGAATAAGCCAGGTGAATCAACTTCGTGCTAGAAGAGGATCAACTGCTTGAGATCGCAAATGACAGTGGCCTTAAAAGTATGTTTGAGACAATTTCAAATCACCATATGTTCTGGATTAAAGTCAAGATGGGATATCCTGAGATGGCCACAAAAGCACTGAAAAGCCTGCTTCAATTTCCAACATCCTATCCTTGAGAAGCGGGGTTTTCTGCAGTGACAGCAACCAAAATGAGATCATGGAGTAGAGTGGACATAAACAACGCACTTCGGGTGTCACTGTCTCTCATCAGCCCCAGGTGGGACCATCTAGTTGCAGGAAAACAAGCTCAGGGCTCCCACTGATTCTGCATTATGGTGAGTTGTATAATTATTTCATTATATATTACAGTGTAATAATAGTAGAAATAAAGTGCACAATAAATGTAATGCGCTTGATTCATCCCCAAACAATTCCCACCCCACTCCCCACTCTGTGGAAGAAGTGTCTTCCACGAAACCTGTCTCTGGTGCCAAAAAGGTTGGGGACCGCTGTTTTAAATCCCGCTTAATGATTTGCCAGCTGGGTATTTTGCACAAGGTACTTAATCTTTCTGGGCATCCATTTGCTCACAGGGCCGTGGGCAGGATTAATCAGAGAATCTCTGAAGCTTCTCAGCACAGTGGCCTGCTTGCTGTGAAAGCATTCAGTGACTGTTAGCTGTTGTTACAGATAGTAACAATGTTCTTAGCAAAACTTAAGGACTCAGCTTCCAAATGGAAATTTTTAAGGCAAATTATGTCCTTAGTTAATTCGTGTACACAATTAAGAATCTTTGTGAGGTTATCTATTTTAAAAAGTGTGTTGCCTCTGAATGTTCCTAGAAATTAGCTCAAGAAGCTCTCACATCTAACTAAGTTAGAGACCATAGTTAATTATGAAATAAAACTAGAGATACTGGGCTTCCCTGGTGGCGCAGTGGTTGGGAGTCCGCCTGCCGATGCAGGGGACACGGGTTCGTGCCCCCGTCCAGGAGGATCCCACATGCCGCGGAGCGGCGGGGCCCGTGAGCCATGGCTGCTGAGCCTGCGTGTCCAGAGCCTGTGCTCCGCTATGGGAGAGGCCACAACAGTGAGAGGCCTGCGTACCGCAAAAAAAAAAAAAAAAAAAAAACAAAACTAGAGATACTGATGTTACTAGAGACTTCAGGATTTTTATCCCCCTTTTAATTAGTGTGCTTCCCTTAGATACTTAATACAACTTAAACTTCTTCCCTTTGTCGGTAGGAACCTGTTTGGTGAAAGGTGTTTGGTGTTCTGAGCCAAGAAAAAAAAAGTTTAGCCTTTGTAGCCATATTCATGCACAGGTCTGTGCTTCTTATACTATTTATTACATACAGACATTTTTTTGAAGTGTGGAACTCATCCTGTGACCCCCTCACACACACACACACACACACACACACACACACATCCAATCAATGGTAACAAAACTAAAGGAGACAAAACTAAAGAGATTTCAGGCCAGCTCATCATAAGATGCAAGCTCTCAAGCTTCATGGGTTTGCTGAATTTTCTGCTTGGCTGCTGGAGTTTGACAG